AATCTCGACGGGTTTGGAGTGGGATTTGAAGTGCTGAATGATGAGCCAGTGGCGGCAAAAGCAGACAAATCCCTCAAGGACAGGTGAAATGAAATTTCTTTATGCGCGTTTTTCAACCACGCATAAGCAACGAGCAGCTTCCGAGAAGAGAGTCGTTTGTACGTGTTAACACCGATAAATACGTCATGCCAAAAATCATCATGCTTTGATTGATAATGCAACATAGAGGAATCTAGATGGCCGCTTTGAGTGAAATGCTCTTTCAAATAGAAAAAGTGAATGGCCAGCTGCTACAACTAGGCGAACCAGGCGAAGCGGTGAAAAGTTCAGGAACCTAGTGCTCTACAACTGTCACATCTTTATACGCGAAAACACCACATCCCACTACTTCAGCAGATATGTTGTTGGGAACTGTGCCCAAGAACGGCAAAATTTGTGAGATATTATCAAAATTTAAGATTTATAAGCCATGAGAAGGCCAAAATTGTTTAGCCATCAGGTTTTGTTGTCTGAATCGGCAGTAATAATATAAGGAAAAGCTTATTTGCACATATTTCATCGACAACATAACAATCAACGAGGTTTTTGTAGTAGCTATGGTCGGTAAAGTTTGTGCATACACTTAGAGAGCTTTTAGGTTGGATAAAACTTGTTACTTTCAGACGCACAAAGCTTATTTTTAGGCTCTGTTAGCTCACAATGCTTCGTCCGAAAAAAAACTTGAAATCCAATTGCATTTGCGTAATCTGAAAAACGAGAATTTTCGAGATTGGCCGGCGATTCCTCTTCAGCCGCACGAGCAGATTTAGGCTTGCTTCAAAGGTAATCAGCAAAGGTTCGAGACAAACAAGATTTAACAGGTTTCATCGCTTTGTGACATACCTAATGACAGATGTGCTGCTGCTGCAGTTGCACCCTTTCTTCTAAAAGGCAAAAACAGCATTCCATTTGTGTGGAAAGGATACTGTATCCACCAAGAATATACAACGGAGATGCATTACGGAAAAGTACTTGCAGGTATTTGAAGAAAGTTCTGCAAACTAATCCAGATCTAGGCGACGCTTCTGATAGCAGCATACTACAGCACGTACACCTTTCGTTCCTTATCACAAACACTAGAGTTTCTCGCCCCCTGTAAAGGCATAAAGGTCTCTACCACCCTCCCACATCCAACACTGTTGTTGGAGGTAGTGTTTTTTGGCAAAGTGCTGGCCACTTTTTAGTCATTACTTCACAATGGTAGCATCCTGTCAGCGCACGCTCCTTTTCATTTTGGCCGCTGACCTCACACAGCACTTCATGCGCGAATGTTGTTTTCTAGAAGCGCGGACGGACACATCATTCGTCCATCAGTGGAATTAGACAAAATGTGCCGCGTACGATAAGTACGCCAAAGCTTCAAACATTGGCTAGGCAGTCCAGCGTAATCATTTGCTTCGGCTGCCCGTTTGTAACAAGTTAAAACTTGCAGCACAGATTATGTGTGACAAATCAAACTCATCTTTATTTATTGGTACTTAAAGCTGCAGATATAACAAATAATGTAACAGAATAAATGTAC